TTTTAATAATAGGGGAAACTACACGGGAGTCACAAAAATGAGTTATAATTGCACTATGGGCCAAGGATACAGTTTCTACTTGCCGGTTGGGCAATGTATACAACCCAGCTTTCTGGCCAGGTAGGGTGCCCGAAGTGCAATTGCAAACTGTATCTTGCCCCATATATAGTGCAATGATAACTCCTTGTGACTCTACTGAAGTTACCCCTATAATGGGCCCTATTATTAATAATAAAAAGATGATACACCAATACGGATGAAATAAATAAATAAATAAAAAACTTAAAAAAGGATTTAAAGGAAAGAGCTTTCTAGAAATTTGGATGATTCCAACAGAGGAAAGAATTCAAAGAATTCACCTCTTTCCTTTTCCTTTTTATTTTCCTTCTGATTCACTTTTTTTTCTGTGTTGCTTTATCAAAGTTTTTCCTTTCCCTTTTTTTTCGTTTTATTTCTGGGGTCACCTTTTTCTGTCTGTACATCCTCTTATGGGTGCCTGAAAGGGGTTCTGAAGGGTTCTGAAAATGGGTTGGGTAAACAGGGTTGGCAATCCAAGGGGAGAAGAGTCATCACAAGGAAAAGGAGAGTAAACTTGCCCAGTTTTTTTTTTTTTTTTTTTTTTTTTTTTTGTAGAGGAGATCCTTGTGCCCAGATTCTTCATTCCTGCCATTGCTCTTTTCATAATCTATGGTTGGAAATGAAGTATCTGATAAATAGAACCTTGGCCTAGCTCCGTTCCAGCGCTCCTATGACAGTACCCACCTGGGTCGATACCCGTCCTCTACAACAACTTAGGGAAGTGGCGTGAATGCAGATTCAGGGTTGCTGGTGTTCGGGACGGGCTGAATGCCCGAACCCGAACGCCCGAACGTTCGGGACCCCCTCTCGACGTGTTCAGCCGTTCGGCCGAACGTGGACCCAAAAAAAAAAAAAAAAAAAAAAAAAAAAAAAAAAAAAAAAAAAAAAAAAAAAAATCCGAAAAACAAATATGTTATGCAGAAGAATAAGCTGAACAAGTTTTTTTTTTTTTTTTTTTTTATTATAGAAAATCGAATTATAAAACCGGGAAGCGGGCCCGGCGTCCCTCACATGAATTCCGTAGCCAAACCAGGCTGGGAGAGGCACTTCCGGCCAGTCCCATCCCCAACCACGGACCTCCAACAGTGAAGACGCCTGTCTTCAGCCCATCCCGTGCGGATCTCCAGTTGCCAAAAAGGACAAAAAGTTTTTGAGAAGCTATGCCATTCAATTACCCCAGTCTATGTTTATACTAACCTAGAATTTAATCCTATTCTTATGTATCTAGTTGCTAAAGGACGAAAAGTTTTGAGAAGCTACGCCATTCAATTACCCTAGTCTATGTTTATACTAACCTAGAATTTTATCCTATTCTAATGTATCGATTAACTCTATACTATCAACATGCAAAAACAGCCACACAAATTCCTCACCTATACCGACGCAATTACCGTAATCATCCCTAACCCTAAATTATCAACAAAGCAGAAACCGTAATCATCACTAATACTTAAAACACAGAATAAAATCCCAACTGAAGCCTATTTAACCAAAACCTCAAAAACATCAAGAAGTGTTCCACTTGACACTTGGAAAATCTTAATAGAAATCATGTCAAAAAGTAAACCTAATTTTGAAAAACGCTGATTTCCAATGAGCCGAATGTCCCACTCTCTCCGATCCAACAAACAAATGGAATTTCAGTCAAAAGGCCACAAAGGGAAACAAGCCTACTGTGGGCTGCAGCAGGTGACGATTATCCAGCATGACATGCTTGATGAGGGGGTGGCATCAAGCCTGTCATAATGGATGAGCTCCACGGTATTATCCGATTGTAGTGACAGGTCCATTGATAAAAAGGTAAAACCTCAAGAACACGTCTTTCCACTTGAACACTTAGAAAATCTTAAAAAATTGCATCAAAGAAATAAACCCAATTTCGAGCGACGCAGATTTCCAATGAGCCGAATGTCCCACGCTCTCCGATCAGAAGGCCGCAAAGGAAGGCAAGTCTACAGTGGGCTGCAGCAGGTGAAGATTGTCCAGGATGACAGGCTAGATGGGGAGCGGCATCAAGCCTGTCATTATGGATGATCTCCACCATATCAACCAATTGCAATGACATGTTCATTGATGAGAAGATGATAAGTGGAGGATGGTCCTTTAATGGCGAGGCGATTGAGGATGGATAACGAGTGATGAATGATAAGTGGTGAGTGATGGGTAGTAGGTAATCCGCTATTAATGGGTAGTAGGTTATCTGTTAGTGAATGATATTAGGTGATCTATTGATAATGGGCGATAGGTATCACGACTATGTGCACGTGGCGGGTTATGGATTGGTAGTCATAACAGATCATTTATAAGGCGAAGGGCAAGAGATTCCACCCAGTGGCGCAGCAGCACCCCTCACCAGCATGCACTAACAGAAGACACGTGGCATCTTGTGAAGGAAAAATCTATGATGGCTTTGGCTGCGGAGTTTTGCTGCCCATGTAGTTTTCCATCGCCTCTGCCAATTGCTTGCCAAACTGCCGCTGCACGTAGCGAACCAGAGGGTAAATAGCTGGCCTGACCAAATTTGCCAGCCGGGAGAAGACCATGACCTCATACCACACCAAACCGTCTTCTCGCCAATCAACCGCAAAGCGCTCTTCGCCTGCCTTTCCTCCACGCCAGCGATGCCCTGATGGAATATCAAGGTTCCCACGATCAATATGACCCAGCACAACTGGCAGGAAAAACAGTCGACACCCTGCCACTCTGCACGTCATGAATGGAAGAGCAGCACCCGAAAGAGATAACAACAGTAATAGCTGTCGCTCGTAGTTGCTGATGGAGTGAACATCCCTCCACTGACAGCAGCACTTGACCGAGGCTGACGCAACAGCAATGTATTCATGGAGGCTCCATATCTGTGACCAAGGCGAATGCCCTGACCTGTTCATAATACTGATATGAGGGGCGTCGTCCAAATCCCACCCATGCCTGCCCACCTGGCAAGGGGGAGGGATCATGAGAGGGACAATGACAACGCTATTCGGTCGCAGGGGAGTCACCCTCCCCTCATACTCCCGGCGTCCGTAGTGTTAAAAATTCAGAGCCGGTGAAACCACAGTGCAATGCTAACGCAGCGCTAGCACAGCGCTAACGCAGCACTGTGTCCGGACCCAGCACAACTGGCAAAAACGTTACATCCAAATTCCTCACCAAATTTGAAATAAAAATCAAATCAAAAAATTAATAATAATAAAAAAATATATAAAAAATGAAAGGAGAATGAAATTATTGAGTGGGTGAGCACGTTTTTGACACCGCCATCTTTGGCAATTTTTCATTTTTTTTTTGGCTGTGACAAATGCCATGAAAATTTATGGATGTGTATCTTACACAATAGAGAACCTACAAATAGTGTTTGAAAAAATAATAATTTTTTTCATGCCCCGAAATAAAGGAAAAAGCAAAAAGTGAAAAGAGAGAAAAAATAAATTATTATTACTATTATTATTAATTTATTATTATTATTATTATTATTATTATTATTAATTTTTTTTTTTTTAACTTCGTATATGGGAAGCCTACGTAACGAGGTGATAAGAGCATCCCCGGTAAGTAGGCCCCGGCGTCGAAGGCTCTTTCTATTGGTGGGGAGCTGCACCTGCTGGAAATCGGGTCCAGCGTCCCTGTACAATGATGAAAATGTATCTGCTGGAAATCAGGTCCAGCGAAACCCTAACCATGGTGTGATGTGTATTACAGAGATGTGATTTGTATCTGCTGGAAAACGGGTCCAGCGTCCCTATATCGTGTTGTGTAACTATGTCCAACAGGCAGAAACTATCTACATATGTCCATATTCTATATCTATCGAAGTGTAATCACAAAACCCTAAGCACTATATGATGAATATGATCTTTTATCAATCAAGCATAAAAAGCAAAGCTCTATCAATGATGAGAGATGTATGATCTGGACGTCCAGTCCAATATCCAACATGCATTATCATGCGAAACTGTCATTTGGGCGTTGATTACTTCCCTGCGCAGGGAAGGATTGACCTCCTGCTAAACCACCACCACCCAACAAGACGATCAGCCCCCCGTTGATGATTGGTATTGCAGGCCGGGCAACATCAATCACCCCCAGCTATCCTACTCCTATCCTCCGCCAAACCACGAGGAGGTACTCCGTATGAAGGTTGGAGGGAGGGGGAAGCAGTAAACCACTTCTCTGTATCAACCCCATATCCTACCACGCCCACTTGCGGCATCACTCAAACCGCGGTGATGATAATCTCAGCCGCTCTGCTGTCACTTCCTACCCCGCTGCTCCCTTGGTTGTGGCCGCCACCGTTGTCGTCGTCGTTGTTATTATTGTTCTTGTTGTTGTTGTTGTGCGAGGCCACTGCCTCTAAGAGCCCCATAAGGCCCCATTTTTGCAGCCCGTCGGCCGCCCTAAGTGAAGGGAGGCTCGGTGAGGCCCTCAGGGCCCTTTTCTGGCCACCACGCAACTCGGGGAAATTCAGGCGGTTGCGCAGCGCCAGGTGGTTGAGTGAACCCAGGCCCTGGGGCGCCTGTGTGAATGAATGTGAAGCAGGCCCTAGGCTGGATACGGGTACCGGGCCAAACACAGGCCAAAGGCAGTTGGGCACATGCAACCACTTCAGGCCCAAGGCCTGTTCTCGTCGTGCTGGGCCTCAGGCTACCGGGGCCTACTGGAAGCTTCCTGGGACTGGGCGCAGGCAGGCCACTTCGATATAGCAAAGGGCCTGCCTCCTCATTCGGCATTCAGGTGCTGGCTGCATGCTGCGCAAGCGCTGCTGCGCTATTTGCTGGCTGGCGCCTACGCTCTCACGGGCGAGCAGGGAAGGAGCACGCAGCCATAGCCGAGCTGCACTGTTGTAAGCTGGGTGAGGCGCAGGGTGATCCTTGGGTGCTAGTGGCATCTGTGCGTTGGGGAACGGGGTTGTGAGTGTGGCGAGAGACATACCTGGTGCTGGTAGCGTGCGACATTGGTCACCATATGCTCGTACTTCGGGAATGTTGTTGACGTCATCTTTCGGCATCGTAGTGTAGGCTAGATAGGATCTGCCACATGTAGTCTGGGCGCCAAGCGCCAGATAGGATATCAACTCTGGTTCTTCGTTGATGATGATGGGACTATTTCATCATTGTCAATTATGAACTCTGGGTGTGTTCCAGATAGGATATCAACTCTGGTTCTTCGTTGATGATGATGGGACTATTTCAGCATTGTCAATTATGAACTCTTGGTGTGTTCTTATTTGGTGAATCTCGTGATGCAATTCTGCTGTTGGTTCGAGGTCAAGACTATCTGGACTCATATGTATGATGCTGTTTGATTGCTGAAGTTCGCTATTGCTCATCTTTCTTGCAGTTGTTGTTGTTATTGTTGTTGTTGTTGTTGTTGTCGTCGTCGTCCCTATCGTTGAGGGGGGGGGAGATGACAAACCCCTTTTCCATTCCAACCCCAATCTCCCCTTCATCCGCTTGAAGGATCTCCCCCATCATGTCGCTGATGATCGCAACTGCCCGGACACATCTGTCAGCCCCGCTGCTTCCATAGTCGTCACTGTCGTCATCGCCGTCGTTGTTGTTGATATAATCGTTGTTGTTGTTGTTGTTGTTGTTGTTGTTGTTGTTGTTTTTGTTGTTTTTGTTGTTGATGATGTTTTCGGCGCTGTTGTTACTTCCTAACTTTGGTCCAATATGTAGCTCCCTCTCCAAATTCTCCTCCATGGTAGTCATGGCTCGTGTGCAGTAATCCTCCAATCAATCACGGCTGGCGCTTCCCCTGTTCACGCGTCGCGGGGCGTCCACGTCACCAAACGACAAGTGGCACCTGGCAAGCTGAACACCACAGCCACGTGTCAGGCGTGTGAACAGGCCCAGCGGCCTGGAGGGGCTCACCTCTCAAAATTAAGAGGAAGATACCTTACATTACAAAGAACTCAGAAAAAACACTCAGAAAAATTAATAATATTTAGGTGCCAAAATATGTTTTTGCGGGGTCCGAACCCGAAGCCCGTACAAGGACCCGAATGCCCGAACCTTTGGGGGTCAGCTTAGGGGCCTCCGTACGTTCGGCCTGGCAACCCTGAGCGGTGGCCTTTTTTGCCCTGTTTTTTTTTTTTCCAACAAGAACCGCTGAAGTTGCCTATTTGAAACTGTAGGTGTGACCCAGGAGCCGTTGCCCCTAATAATAATGATAGGGATGAAGGAGACGGGGGGAAACAGTGCAAAATTGAATTCTTCTGCACAACAGATGAGCATGGAGCATCAAGTTACCCCTTTTATACTTCTCCCTATCAGAACAAGAAACTTTCTTGTCAACACATGGCTCTTTTTTTTTTTAACTGGGATAATTTGCGAACTACCCCCATAAGCTGAGGTATATGCCAAAATGCCCCTAAAAGCTGTGGGTAGAGAGGATGCCCTTTTGGGCCAAAATCTTTGTGTTATGCCCCTGTCAGGGGCGGGTGTGCAAATTTGCAATCTGGACCTCGCCGTTTGGGCCTTGGCCTTTTGCAACCGGGCCTTGGAGAAGTTTGCAAGTACCGGGGTATTTTGCAAAGTTGGATGGTACCCGGCAGGGATATATCGCGAAGATGGGGGTTCAACATACGCGAGGGGTGTTTCACAAAAAAAATAAAATTGTCAGAGGGGCATTCTGCTCAATCGACATCTTTCAGGGGTATTTTGGCATAGATGTCAACTAATGGGGGTATTTGCAAATTATCCTTTTTTTTTTTTTTAAGACAGCTCCTTTTCCTTTCAGTTACACTTGTAATACACTCCTCCTTTTGTTTTTTTTTTTTTTTTTTTTTTTATTCTTCTCTCAACGTTTCACTACCTACTCCTAAGGCTTTCGAGAGGGTACCCCTGCAAGCATAGTTTCCTCTCACTCTGAAGGGGAGATGTCATGTTCCCCTTGCCCCTAATGGTTAGGGTATAGGGTTGGGGCCGCCAGTGGGGGTCTGG